CTTCGCAGATGCAGCATTAAATCTGCTCATTGCGTCCGTATGCAGTCGCTGGCGTGGTCTCGTTAAGCGTGAAGTTACCGGCCTGTTAGTCCGAGAGTTGTCGTGTCTCGTCAAAATCTGGCGAAGGCAGTGGCTTGTATCGCCAACCTAGAGAATCTTCATCTGAGCGACGGCAGCATCCAAATTTTAGACGACTCGTTCCTCGCTCGCCTTGCTACCTCACGGCCCAAGCTAAAAGTTATTCACGTGGGTCGCGGGGTCACACCAAAAGACAGTGGAGGAGACAAGGATAAGTACCCAGTTACAAAAGCCGGTCTGGACAATTTCTTTTTGAAGTGCACTCAGCTGGAGAAGATATCTCTTCACTGCCTTCATAAAAATGCTGAGTTACCGGATTCTTTTTTTCAGCTGGAGCGTCTTCATACTGTTCTTCTAACAGGCATTTCAGCCTTGACACTCTCCGAATTTGCAAGACTTTCGTCTCTCACTTCTCTCCATATTGCTGTCCCGAAACTGATACATCAGCAACTGTCAGGCCTTGCTAGTATACCAAGACTCTCCATACTTTCGATCTCCAGTAACATCTGCCTTCCTGCGGTAACTTTTCCAGCTGCTCAGCTGCCTTATTTGAAGACACTCGAGTTCCAGATTACTAGTCCTGGATTCACTTCATTGTTCTCTCCAGGATCACCGTGCATTCGTCTAGAACAGCTGGTGATCACCCAATCCGCCAACCTAGAGAGCTTTCTCGATGACATTGGAGAGATGTTTCCGTCCCTTCGTGAGCTGACCATTCGTAACTGCTCTCAGCTCAACCAGCTCCCCCAACAGATTACAGCTCTAACCGGATTGGAGTGCGTGTCCATTTCCGAGTGCTCCAAACTTCACAGCCTCCCCAAGGATTTCGGACAGCTGCCTGCTCTCAAGTCACTGATGCTGGGGGGGGAGTCTTTCACAGAGCTACCCGACTCCCTCAGCCAAGCCACATCTTTGGAGAAACTAGACCTGGACTTAGGGAACCTTAAGCAGCTGCCAGCAGAATTCTGCAACCTCACATCTCTCAAGTCACTGAGGCTCAAGATTCATAAACTGAAGGAGCTTCCAGAAACACTTGGATGGCTCAGCAATCTCGAGACTCTTCGCGTGGATGGGAGCAGGCAGTTGTTTCTCCCCTCTTCATTTACGCAGCTGTTTTCTCTTACAAGTCTTGAGCTCAGCTGCTGTGCAATTCGTTGGCTTCTGTGGGGTTTAGACAATATGATTAACCTGCAGCATCTTTCCATTTATGGGTGCCATGCTGTCAGGGAGATACCGGAGTCTGTCACTGGGCTCACTAACCTTGTAACCTTGGTCATCGAGATATGTACAGGACTCTCTTCGATGCCAAGAACGCTAAATACCCTTGGGAAGCTCCAGCGGTTGAAGGTCACTAATTGCGGAGGGTTGCGTGGGTGTCCTCTGTCGCTGCCACTCTCCCTTGAGGTCCTTATCTGGACGAACATGACAACTGCTTTCCTGCCTGTGACCTCCCTGTGTTCTCGTTTAAGGCACTTGGAGGTGGATTTGACAAAAAATACTGAACCGTTCTTGGTTACCTCGAGTTTCTTTCCTCAGCTCCAGTTCTTGAGAATCTGGTGTGCAAAGAGGATTCAGGCTCTTGTACAAGGCATCAGAGGGGCATTGCAGCTGCGAGAGCTGCACCTTATTTCTCTTGAGGATGTCAAGCTACCAGAAACGATTTCACAGCTGCAGCAGCTGACGTCATTAAGTGTTTATGCACCCAAGCTGGCCTCAATCCCCGACAGCATCGGAGCATTATCCAGGTTGCGCATGCTGGATCTGTCAGGGTGTAAGGCCCTGCATCAGCTACCCTCGTCTCTCACGCAGCTTCGCTGCCTCTCCGATCTTTGTGTTGGTGGGACTTCCATCCGCTTTTTTCCTCCCAGGTTTGCACAGCTGACCAGCCTGAGGACACTCGACCTTCATGGCTGTTACAAATTGGAGGATTTGCCTATGGATTTGTTCAGGATGACTATGCTGCAGAGTTTGAATATCTTAGGGTGCAGGCGATCCAACGACATACCCCGTGTGCTGCGCTGTATGCTTAAGCCTTGAGGTTGTATATGATTACCTACCAATATGTTTCTGAAGGGTTTAACCTGATGATTACTTTTCCTCTTGTGACTCAATCAGAAAAGTGGCATTCCAATTGTGAGTCACATATCTCATGCGAAGTGTCATGCCAAGCTGATTACAGCAGGCGTACATGGGCTAGCATCTGTTGTTGCAAGTATCGCCCTAGAGCTTTACATGCCATAGTGTGGGGGAGCTGTAAAATAGATGTATGGTGAGTGAGCAGAGTTAAGCACGCAAGTTGTACAGCCAACTGGAATACATTGCTGGTAGAACACAAACGAGATATTCGGTAGGGAGCTACTAAAAAAACCAATCCTCTTCGCTGCCTCTCTGTGCTTAATGTTGGGGGGACGTCCATCAGCTTCCTCCCGGGTTTGCACAGCTGACCAGGCTGAGGAATCTCAGCCTCTCTCACTGTGAGCTATTGGAGGCCTTGCCATATAACCTGACAGAGCTGAAGCTGCTGCAAGAGGTGGATATTCGAGGATCCAATGACGCCATTGATCGCATGCCACGTGCATTGCGCTGTGATATCCGAAACATGCATGGGCTGAATTTTATATCTTAAACCAGCAGCAATATAGTGTGCATGCTGATTTCATTGCACAGGTTCACATAGTCCTGCTTTCTGTTGAGCAATTCTAGGAAGCTATTTTAGGATTGCTTTGATATCTGAGGGCCACATTACATGGCACATAATCTCAAGCTGGTGTGGTTCGGTTGTTTCCAGCCCCTTGCAACATTCCCTTTTCACCAAGATCAAGAGGAGGGACATGTGCATGTCAGTTGATCAACCCAGCTGTGATAACGGCCTTATCCCTTCTGGAGAAACCAATTTTTCATCAGCAGACGAGCTCTGACCGTGACTGACTACTCTCCGTTCCACAATAATCCACCCCTCCCCCCTTTTTCCCTTTGCCTGATTTTCTTTCTTTTGGGTGGGCAGCAATCTCAATATTCCGATACTCTAGTGAATTCGGAAGACATTGTATGGATGCGTGAAAACGGTGATACGAGTGATTTGAACCTGAACGCAACTACCAGTGCAGAATGTTGGACTACGTTACACGCCCCAGCTGAGAGAGTGCTGCGCCCTTCAGACATACCAAGCGACTCGGGAAACAAAGTGAGTTCCGTTAACTGTATACTCTAGACCTGAACACTTACCGCTACTAGTATCACTATTGTTGTTATCTTTGTTATTATTAGTTCGTTGGAATGCAAGAGTGCCCTCTCCTCCTACTAACTGCTATGCTCTGCCATACTATGTCCCCCCTCACCCCAACTGTCGAGGTCCACTGTGCGGGTGAGTTCGGGTCAGTAGGTAAGAAATGCATGAGATGGGGATGCATGAGATGGGGATGCATGAGATGGGAATGCATGAGACGGGAATGCATTAGATGGGAATGCATGAGATGGGGATGCATGAGATGGGAATGCATGAGATGGGGATGCATGAAATGGCTGATCCCCGCCCCGTTCTCTACCACTTTCACCCACTGTCCCTCTTTCACCTCCTCACGTACTCTTTCATCCAGGCTGTATTAAGATCGGCAGGCTTACCCAACTGGGACCTGCCTGCATCACCGTGCCTGTGCAGCACACTGCCGTTTGGAGTTGAATCCGCAGCAGAAAATAGGATTTTCTGATCGTATGTGAATCAGTCAGCTCCTGTATTTCCTTCACCTCCTTGGTAGCTTGAGACGAGTTTTGAGGGGCCTAAAAATTCGTCTCAAATTCCGTCCTTAAACTTGTTTCTTAGAGGCTCCTCAAAGCTTATTCTCACCTCTGTCTTTCCTAGATGTTCTTCACTCATGTTTGTTGTATATGCTACTTCGCAGATGCAATATCATCCCTCATCATCCCTCATTATCCCTCATCATCCCTCATCATCCCTCTTCATCCCTCATCATCCCTCATCATCCCTCATCATGCTTCACCATGCCACATTGTGCCTCATCACCTCATTATGATCTTTTCCATGATCCGATTACATGCTCCCAACCTCCCCTCTCCCTCTCCCTCTCCCCTCTCCACTGCCACAACCTCTACTGCCACCACAAGGATCCCAGCTGCTGCCGCTCTGCTTTATTTTGTATACCATTTCAACCCCATCAGAGCCTGCTAGTAGGTGAAGAATTAACCCTCTCTGGCGCCCAATCTGCTATTTTAGAGGTGGATACACATGCTTGCAGCAGGCCGGTGCACAGCATATGCAGCAGGCACAGGGGAGGTGCTGAAAGCAGGCAGCAACACAGGTCAACCCCTTACCAGGAGCTCAGTTCCCCCAAGCTCAGCCCCCCAGGGTGGTCTCTCTGCAGAAATAAATACTCATCTTGACCGCCCTTCCTCATCTGTCAATGATCATTGTGTGGGGTGGGGCTTGCTCGTAATAGGAATTCATTTAAACATTTTCATGTGCTTTGTGCACGAAATTGCATGCGGAAAAAAATCAAACAAAGAAAATAGTGAATTCTGATTCGGCTTAATGTTAGCTGAGTTCTACTGGTTTTGCTTCTCATTCTTGTTACTCCAAACTTATTGTACGGCACTTATGTGTTAGCGTTGGCGACGCTGGTGCGCACAGTAACGAGTATGATCTCTCTCGAATATTCAAACTCGAACGTTCTGTCGCGACGACTCAAGCACGACAGCCGCTTAGTACTCTAGGTTCTACCAGCCTTTCCCAGTCTGCGACGAGATTCTTTGTGTTATGTGCTAGCGCGAATACAGGGTTGTTTGCGATTGAAACCCTCGACATCATTCATTGCAGCGAAGTGTCTGCTTAGTACGAAGTTTACTGAAGTTAAGTCGTTCAGTACTAATCAGGCTCTAGACTACACAACTGGGTGGTTCTATCAGCCATGGCGCATCTTTTAAGCGAGTTGGATCGCTTCGAAGAGGAGATGCGCGCGCTCGGTGCGGAATCCGCTTCCGCGAAGGCCGCTCCGCCTCCCGCGCACCTCATTGCGCAAGTGCCCCTTCCGCCCGCTCCGCCTCTCCCCGCTAAAGGCACACCCCCCGTTTCCCCCGCTCCGCCTCCCCCTCGCCCCCCTCCGTCGTTCCCCCCAGGCGCTTCTCCCGCGCGGCCCTCCATATCCCCTTTGCCTGCCCCGCCTCCTTCCGCCTACTCCCCCGCGCCTCGTCCGCTTCCGCCACACGCCCTTCCCCCTCCACCTTCCGCCTTTCCCCCAACTCCGCCTTATCGCCCCGGCGGTTCTTGGTCACAGTCTCCCGCCGCCACTCCCCCTGCTGCGCATGTTCCGCCGTCCCCCCCTCTTCCCCCGCCAGCCTCAGGCTCAACCCCCCCGTTTCCGCGATACCAAGCACCGCCCCGACCGTCGTTTCCGCCCATTCCCCCGCCTGCGCACGGAGTTCCGCCTTTCAGCAGCGGCGCAGGGGGGACTGCGCAATTCCCCCCTCTTCCGCCTTCCGCGCCTGCCCCCGCGCCTCCCCCTACGCGGAAAGTATACGCCGCTGCGCCTGTGAAAGTTATAAAAAAAGAAGATGCGGGGAAGGAAGGCGCAGCGGGGGAGGCGGAGAAAGGATCTGGGGGAAACGAGGGGGAACAACAGGCGGAAAAGTCAGCCGCATCTGCAGGCAAAGCCACTCCGCCAATCCCTCCCCCTCCTCCGCCTGCCCCTGCTCCCTCCGCCTCCGCTTCACAAGCAGCACCTACACCATCACCACCCCCACCAGCACCATCAGCAGCAGCAGGGGCTTCAGGGGGTACGGGGGAGGGGCTGCAGGCATGGCGCAATACGGAGGGGGAGCGGGGTTCCCCGCAGGGGCAGGGTTCGGGGGAATGGGCGGATACGGGGGCATGGGCGGGGGAATGGGCGGAGGAGGGTATGGGGGAGCGGCAGGGGGGTATGGAGCAGGGGGAGCAGGGTTTGGGGCAGGTGGAGGGGGGTATGGAGCGGTTGGGGGACAGTATGGAGTGGGGAGCAGCAATGCGCAGGGCACAACGCTCTCTGAGTTCCTGGTAAGGCCCATCTGCGTAAAATAAGGCGAGTTATGAGTCATCTTTAAACTCGACAGCCCTCAATCCCGGCCCCCTCCTTCCCCCCCCCTGCCTCCCCTCCCCCCTCCCCCTTTCTCTCCCCCTCCAACTCCCCCCCCCCCCCCCCCCCCCCCCCCCCCCCTCCCCTCCCCTTCCCCCCATGTCTTTCCTAAGCAACCATTTCTCTTCTCTAAAATCTCATTTCCGCTCAGTTTTGAGCGTCTCCCCTCCGGTTGTAAAATGCTTTTCTAAAGTGTTCCTTCCCCTCCCCGTTCTCCTGCTCCCCTCCCTTCCACTTTCCACCCCTCCCTTGTTTGCCTCTCCCCTGCGGTTCCTGCTCTCCCTCCCCACCTTCTCCCCACCCCCCCTCCCCGTCACCCCCGTCCCAGGCCAACCCCAACGCAGCAAGAGCAACAGGGAATGCATTTTGAGGCGCCTCAAGATGCACCCCACCCCCCCTCCCCGTCACCCCCGTCCCAGGCCAACCCCAACGCAGCAAGAGCAACAGGGAAGCCCATCAACTCACAGGTCCGTTTCATTTGAGGTTCGAGTGCCTTGATTCAACTCGTTACAAGGTCACTCAACACAGGAACTCGAAGGAGGAGTGTCACACCCACCCACCCGTACAACGTCCCAGGCCTTTTCTTCTTCCTGCGTAAAATTCTCAACTCAAAAAGCGAAAGGTTAGCAGGTCAGATATGCCTGGAGGCACTCCCATGCCCGTCACGTACCCATACCCCAGTTCCGATGTCCCTCCCCCACCCCCCCCCCCTAAATCCCTTGTAAAAAGATTATTTTTGAGACGTCTCAAAAATAATCTTTTTACACGTGGCTCCCCCACCCTAAACCCTTGGCAGGCAGCGCAGCTGTTTCAAAAAGGAGCACACTCGGCAGATCCCCATACTCGATGATCAAGTTTTGAGGCGCCTCAGAACCATACCCCAGTTTTGATGTCCCTCCCCCACCCCCCCCCACCCTAAACCCCTGGCAGGCATCGAGTGGCAGGCAGCGCAGCTGTTTCAAAAAGAAGCACACTCGGCAGATCGCCTATACTCGATGATCAACCCAACAGACTCACACTCCTCTCTTCCCCGCCCCCTCCCCATGCCCCCATTCCCCTCTTCCCCCTTCCCCCCCCTTCCCTCTGGGGCTCCTCACACTTCCCTTCTATTCCCCGCCCCCGCTGCACTTCCTCTCTCCCCCTTTCCTCCCCCCCGTCCCCCCTTCCTCTCCTCACCCCTTATCAGGCGGAGCAGCTGTTTCAAAGGGATGCAGCCATGATCAACCCCGCAGCGTTGGAAGGAGTGAAAGCACCTGCACTGCTTTTCTCTCGCTATTAACTGCTCTCTGCCCCTTGTTTCCTGCCTGCTCCCTCCTCCCCCTTGACCCCTATCAGGCAGAGCAGCTGTTTCAAAGGGATGCAGCCATGATCAACCCCGCAGCGTTGGAAGGAGTGAAAGCACCTGCACTGCTTTTCTCTCGCTATTAACTGCTCTCTGCCCCTTGTTTCCTGCCTGCTCCCTCCTCCCCCTTGACCCCTATCAGGCAGAGCAGCTGTTTCAAAGGGATGCAGCCATGATCAACCCCGCAGCGTTGGATGGAGTGAAAGCACCTGCACTGCTTTTCTCTCGCTATTAACTGCTCTCTGCCCCTTGTTTCCTGCCTGCTCCCTCCTCCCCCTTGACCCCTATCAGGCAGAGCAGCTGTTCCAAAGGGATGCAGCCATGATCAATCCGGCAGCTTTGGAAGGAGTTAAAGCTGCCCTGGCCAGTAATGTGCCGCTGGGCATGGCCGGGCAGGCTGCCGGGCAGCAAAATAAAAAGCGGCCGGTGCCGAGGACAGCTGCCGGGCAGAAATGGGAAGATCCTACTCTGACTGAATGGCCTGAGAGTAAGTTTTTCCAACACCCCCATGGTCTACATAACCCATTGCATATACCCCCGTATCCTTGATCTGCATAAACCCCAAACCTCATATCCCATTGCCCACATCCGTCATATACCGCATGCTCTTATAACCATTACTTTTGAGAATTCTCAAAAGCGACTCAGATTTACCTTTGAGCCGACATCCCTTTTTACCCCCATACATACCACATATTCACATACCCCCCATACCTCCATGCCCCCATTTCCGCATGCCCCATAACCCCTTCGCCACATGCCCCCATGCCGTTACCCCTTCAAACTGAACATAAGGCCATGGGCTGTTAAGCAACGTGATTGAAGCACCAAGGTTTATGCCACACCCCCCATATCCCATGCCTTTACCCGTGTAATCCCATTCCCATCCAGGCGACCATTGGCTATTCAGCGTGGCAATGGAAATGCGTCGCCAAGGCATGCCGCATAATCCCTCATACAAACCCCTTCCTTTACCCCTTCCCAATGTGCTTCCATGTGAGAAAAGAAGTGTTTTGAGAAGTCCCAAATGCCCCAAATTTCCTCATACATACCCCTTTGCCCCTTCCCAATGTGCTCCCATCCACATGCAGACACCATCGGCTGTTCTGTGGTGATCTTGGGAGCGAGGTGAACAACGATGTGTTGGCCAAGCCACACCCCCCAATGCGACCCTCACCCAGACCTCATTCCCCCATACACATGCCCATGCAGATGACCTTGGGCTGTTCTGTGGTGACCTGGGTAACGAGGTGAAAGATGGCGTCTTGGCATGACACACTCCCCAATGCTTCCATACCCGATGCTCCCGTCTACCATATCCCATATATATACACATGCCCCAACCCCATCCATGCAGACGACCATCGGATATTCTGCGGTGATCTGGACAACGAGGTGAACGATGATGTGTTGGCATGACACATCCCCCAATGCTCCTCTCTACCATACATCATTCCCCCATACACATGCCCATCCCCATGCAGACGACCATCGGATATTCTGTGGCGACCTGGGCAACGAGGTGAACGACGATGTGCTGGCATGACACAGCCCTGAATGCTTCTCTCCCCAATCCCACCCCCCATGCACATACCTACATTCGTCTAGATGACCATCGGATATTCTGTGGTGATTTGGGCAACGAGGTGAACGACGATGTGTTGGCAAAGGCATTTCAGAAGTACGCGTCGTTCAACAAGGCAAAGGTGAGGCAGCTAGCAGAGGTATGGGTAAGGTAGGTTGCAGTAGCTGGGTGCTTGCATGGTGTGATGGGGTGCATGATGTGCTGGCCAAGGCGTTTCAGAAGTATGCGTCCTTCAACAAGGCTAAGGTGAGGCAGCAACTTGAGGTCCAGTGCTTGCATGGTGTGATGGGGTTTTTCGTGTGCTGGCCAAGGCGTTTCAGAAATACGCGTCGTTCAACAAGGTCAAGGCGAGCTGGCTGGCGTTGTAGACTGTCTGTAGCTATGGCATGGACCCTGCCAAGCCAAGTCGGTGCAAATAGCAGGGGTGCGGTATTGCGAGCATGTTGTGCTGGCTAAAGCATTTCAGATGTATGCATCGTTCGACAAGGACAAGGTGAGGTGACAAGGGCAAGGTGAGGCAGCTTGTAAGGTCACTGTGGCATGCGGGGGGTTATAGGAGTACAGTGGTGAGTCCGGTAGTGCTGGCTTGGTGTGCCGGCCAAGGCGGTTTAGAAGTATGCATTCTTCAACAAGGCCAAGGTGAGGCAGCTTTTGTGGACAGTCGCAGTGCTGGGTGTGCTTGGTGCTTGCATGGTGTGCTGGGTGTGCTTGGTGCTTGCATGGTGTGCTGGGGTGCATGATGTGCTAGCCAAGGCGTTTCAGAAGTATGCATCCTTCAACAAGGCCAAGGTGAGGCAGCTGGTTGGTAGGGGGGGATGCATCGTGCTGCTGAGTAGCAAGGATCCTGCAAGGCCAAGGTGAAGCAGCATAGCGAAAGTGCAGCACCAGGTGGGGCGTGCGTGCAGTGGTGCTGGCTAGGTGTGCTGCCCAAAGCGTTTTAGAAATACGCGTCTTTCAACAAGGCTAAGGTGAGGCAGCTAGAAGGGGAGGGAGGTGGAAATCAGGAGGGAAACTGAGGTAGAACTGCAGGCTTGCAGGCAGGAGGTAGGTGTGATGGATGTTGTCAAGCGTGGATGAAGATATGCATTGATGGTAAGGGTGCATTGATGATAAGGTGCACGGAAGGAAATGTGCACGGAAGGATATGTGCACCCTCACCATTCCTGTACCTTACCATTCATGCGCATTTCCATTCACGCAAGTCAGCATCCATCACACCCAGCTACCGCCTGCAAGCCTACAGCTCCGCCTCGGTTGCCCTCCTCCTCTCCATCTCCCTCACCACCTCCCCTTTGAGTCGCTCCACCTCCCCTTTGAGTCGCTCCACCTCCCCTTTGAGTCGCTCCACCTCCCCTTTGAGTCGCTCCACCTCCCCTTTGAGTCGCTCCACCTCCCCTTTGAGTCGCTCCACCTCCCCTTTGAGTCGCTCCACCTCCCCTTTGAGTCGCTCCACCTCCCCTTTGAGTCGCTCCACCTCCCCTTTGAGTCGCTCCACCTCCTGCTGCAGCTGGTCCCTATCTGCTGCCACTTCCCCCAGCATCACCTCCCTGCTCTGCACCTCCCCACCTCTCTCCGTTCACCTCTCTGCTCTGCACCTCCCCCCCCTCTCCTTTCAGGTCCCTGCTCTGCACCTCCCCCCCCTCTCCTTTCAGCTCCCTGCTCTGCACCTCCCCGTGTAGGGACAAGAGCACAGGCCCCAAGTCACTCCCTCCTCCCCCTCCTTAACATAAAATCCTTGTGTGATAAGTCTGTTCTTGAGTCGACTCAAAAACAGACTCCCGACTCTGCACATCTTGGTGTGGGGACAAGACCACAGGCCCCAATTCACTTTCTCACTCTCTCCCAACCTCCCCTCCTCCTTTCAGTTCGTGAGGGACAAGACCACACGCAAGACCAAGGGGTACGGGTTCATGAGTTTTCTTGTCGACTCAAAACCCATCTCGTTTCACCTGTATGCTTCAATGCACGCCCCACTGCAGGTGGTGAGGGACAAGACGACGGGCAAGACCAAGGGGTATGGATTTCTGGACTTAAAGCCCAACCACTCTCCCCTTCCCCCACCCCTCGTTGCCAATTGCTCTCGCATACCCACCAGGTGGTGAGGGACAAGACGACGGGCAAGACCAAGGGGTATGGATTTCTGGACTTAAAGCCCAACCACTCTCCCCTTCCCCCACCCCTCGTTGCCAATTGCTCTCGCATACCCACCAGGTGGTGAGGGACAAGACGACGGGCAAGACCAAGGGGTATGGATTTCTGGACTTAAAGCCCAACCACTCTCCCCTTCCCCCACCCCTCGTTGCCAATTGCTCTCGCATACCCACCAGGTGGTGAGGGACAAGACGACGGGCAAGACCAAGGGGTATGGATTTCTGGACTTAAAGCCCAACCACTCTCCCCTTCCCCCACCCCTCGTTGCCAATTGCTCTCGCATACCCACCAGGTGGTGAGGGACAAGACGACGGGCAAGACCAAGGGGTATGGATTTCTGGACTTAAAGCCCAACCACTCTCCCCTTCCCCCACCCCTCGTTGCCAATTGCTCTCGCATACCCACCAGGTGGTGAGGGACAAGACGACGGGCAAGACCAAGGGGTATGGATTTCTGGACTTAAAGCCCAACCACTCTCCCCTTCCCCCACCCCTCGTTGCCAATTGCTCTCGCATACCCACCAGGTGGTGAGGGACAAGACGACGGGCAAGACCAAGGGGTATGGATTTCTGGACTTAAAGCCCAACCACTCTCCCCTTCCCCCACCCCTCGTTGCCAATTGCTCTCGCATACCCACCAGGTGGTGAGGGACAAGACGACGGGCAAGACCAAGGGGTATGGATTTCTGGACTTAAAGCCCAACCACTCTCCCCTTCCCCCACCCCTCGTTGCCAATTGCTCTCGCATACCCACCAGGTGGTGAGGGACAAGACGACGGGCAAGACCAAGGGGTATGGGTTCGTGAACTTGTGATACGTATCCAAGTAATCTTTGCTAGAAATCCCTCTCTCGGCCCACCTCCTTGCTCGTATCCCACAACCCCCCTCAGGTGGTGAGGGACAAGACCACGGGCAAGACTAAGGGGTATGGGTTCGTGAGCTTTGGTGAAGTGATGGACTGTGCTGCTGCTCTCAAGGAGATGAACGGTGAGTCAATGAAGTCAACGGGGGTCAGTGAAGTGAATGGTGTGTCACTGGCAAGTTCATAAACCTCATGAGGGGGTGAGTGGAGGTGGTGGATTTTGCTGCTGCTCTGAAGGAGATGAATGGTGAGTCAATGGAGTCAATGGGGGTGAGGGAGGTGATGGACTGCTAGTTAGTGAAGGAAGTCTACAGGGGTTTAGATGAATGGCGGGTCAGTTACGAGTCTGTGCAATCAGGACGTGGGGAGTCGACGAGTTGAGCCACCACAAGCCTGGGTGCTTTGGATTTGGAAATACCCTGTTCTGTGCAACCAGAATATGATTTGCTATGTGTGCTTTCATTTACGGCACGGTTCTCTGCATGTGCGTGCTGGTGTGAGCAGGGAAGTACGTGGGGAATCGGCCAATCAAGCTGCGCAAGAGCACGTGGCAAGAGAGGATCGACACGGAGGCTCTTAAATCCAGAAACCGGGGCAGCCGGGTAAGTAGCACCTCAGCCTTTCAAACTTGCCAAGTTGGTTCTATCGACAGGAGCAGCCGTGCAAGCAGCAGCATCTCAGCCTTCCAAACTTGCCGCCATGTGTGCGATATTTTTGAGGTGTCTCGTGCGGGCCTCCTTTCCTGTGTGAAACCTTCGACATGTGGTATCCCCCTTACTTTTGGAGGGTTGTATTTCCTTCTTTCTTTCCCTTCTCCATCTTTTCTGATTATCTTGCTCTCCCCATAATTACATTGATGTGTGTGTTGACAGCCCAAGGAGAAGCGTCAAAAGAAGAACATTCTGCACCGGTGAGGTGGCGCCTGAAACCTAATGACACTGACAGCTTCGATCTGCATTCTGGATGGAAATTGCTCCGATGACAATGTCAGGAGGGGTTGTGTCAACAGTGTAACCAGTCAAGTAACCGGCTAAGTGGGCTTTTAACGAATTGTGGTGTCACGTTATCCAAAGTTTTTGAGCTTTATGAGTGTTCTCATGGACAAGCTTGTGCGTTTGGAGTATTTCTGTCCACTGGTGAGAGATCCAGAAGAAAAGTCTTGCCAGAATGGAGGAACGTAATAAAGTGAATGTCAGAATCACGTTCATGGGTTCGCATGGAAGTAATTAATGTATGTACTTGATCAAGGGAAAATGTATACGTAAGGAATAATGACAATGTACCTTCCAACGAGTGTAGAATCGAGGCCCACAACAAGCTGTATTGCGTGCGCGTGGAACTGTGCTCGAAGGCTTGAATATGATCAGCCAATCAGAGCCATCCCGAGGCAAATCGGAAGCCTCGGCGCACGCAAACTTCCTTGCATGCCCGAACCAACCAGTATGGTGCCGTGCCGAGCCAGGCAGCAAGATGGTGGTGCATCGAGGCTGCTCCCAGGACAAATCCCAAGGTTCTTTTCTGACTGCGTAACAGAATCTGCTAAGCAGCTAACTAACAGAGTCTGTCACCCTCCTAGGTTCTAGTTCGTTAGGCTCTGTCCCTAGGGCTCAGCTTTTCCAACAGTCATAGCTGGTCATGCTGCATACTTAGGTTGCTGATCGGTCCGCCTGCTGTGCCAGTCCCTGCATTTACTAAGACCGCCCTCCTGACGCTCTCCTGACGTGTCGCTAAAGCTCAGTAGACTGTTAACGGATTACCGCAGGTCAGCTCATCTCGCTAACCCGCGCGTGATCGCTAGAGCGTATTTCGGCTGCACCTCGGAGCATCCGTCTTCCTGACACGTCACACTTGATCTTGAATACTCGCATTTTCTTCGCGATCTTCGGGTTCCGGCTTTCTGCTTTCCAGCTTTCTTTAGGATCGCTTCCTGAAGGAATTCGCATCCAGCCTCTTGGATTCATCCGCGTTCGTCTACTTTCGAATCGCATCCGACAAGACGGTCGGTTTACGCTGGCGACGGATCTGAGCCCTCAATCAGTACAACTGAGCCGAGAATCTGCCAGGTTTTTTTCCTCCTCTTGTTTTCAGAAAAAAAAAAAGCCCGGAACTGAACTCGCGAATCCGTCGCGGTTCCGTCCTCCCACCGGATTCCGTCCATCCGGACTCCCCTTCCCTCGTCCCTCCTGCGCGATGGCGTACACTCGTCCCGAGGTCGTGGAGGAGGAGGAAGCTTCCACGATAGAGCTACTGGGCGACTCGGTCATCCCGGTAGTTAATAAACTGCAGGACATCTTTTCCCAGCTCGGATCCTCCAGCGCGATCGACTTACCGCAAGTAGCCGTTGTGGGGAGTCAGAGCAGCGGCAAATCCAGCGTGCTCGAGTCGCTCGTCGGGAAGGACTTTCTGCCACGTGGATCCGACGTGGTGACGCGCCGCCCGCTGGTGCTGCAGCTGGTGCAGGTGCCGAAGCGCGCGGACGGAAAGGCGGAGGAATGGGGGGAGTTTTTGCACCTGCCGGGGAAGAGATTAACGGATTTCTCCGCGATCCGGGACGAGATTCAGGTATTTTCGTTTGTCGGTTTGAGAAATCAATAACTCGTCTGGTAAGGACACGATGCAGGTAGTGTGAATTTCCATTTCTTTCATGTACCTACCTTTCTGCAGCTGTTTTTTCAAACCCCCTTCTGATCTGAGTCCCCCTTCTAGATCAACCTTCCTGAATCCCTCGTTTCAAGTCTCCCTTTTTAGTCAATAAAGGCATTGTTTTGCCAAGTGCGTCTTAGGATTCACTGGAGCTCTGAACCCTGTGTATGTGCGCAGACTAAATTGCTAATCCTCTATGAAGTTCATTCCCTTCTGCATTGCATCTTGCACCTTGCTGCTTCTGCTTTGCCTTGTCAATTGCTCGTTCAGCTGGAGATGGAGTGCGATTTGGGGACCAACAGGGGCGTTACTGCGATCTGCGCTTGCTCATCATCTCTCCTGCTCTTACTCCACTTCTCTCCTACTCTACTTTTTTCCTACTCTATCTCTCTCTTACCATCCACTCCTTCTCTCCTCCTCTACTCTCCTTCCCTCCTTACCTCCCTCCCTTCCCTCATTCCCTCCTTCAATCCCTCCCTCCCTCCCCCCTTCCCTGCTTCCCTCCTTCCCTTTTTCCCTCCCTCCCTCCTTCCCTCTCTCCCTCCTTCCCCCCTTCCCTCCTTCCCTCCTTTCCTCCTTTCTTCCGTCCTCCTCCCCTCTTATCCCCCTCTCCTCCCACCCCTTACAGCTAGAGACGGAGAGGGAGGTGGGGGTGAACAAGGGAATAACGGAGAAGCAGATCCGGCTGAAGATCTTCTCGCCCCACGTGCTCACAATAACCCTCGTGGACCTGCCCGGCATCACCAAGGTGCCCGTGGGCGACCAGCCCTCCGACATCGAGGCCCGCGTGCGCTCCATGATCCTCGCTTACATCAAGCACGAGACCTGCATTATATTGGCGGTCACCCCAGCTAATGCGGATTTGGCCAATTCCGATGCGCTGCAAGTGGCGCGCATGGCCGATCCGGATGGTGAGAGACTGGCGGATTGTGTTTGTCGGTTAGTGGGGCATGGGGACTGCTGACTGGTGCGTGGCCAGGGGGCTGTGTGGTGAGCACCGCTTTGGGACATTGATAGAGGCACGTGTGCGATCCATGATCCTGGCCTACATCAAGCATGAGACCTGCATCATCCTCGCTGTTACACCCGCCAATGCTGACCTGGCGAACTCTGATGCCCTGCAAGTGGCACGCATGGCAGACCGAGATGGTGAGAGACTGACTGTGCTGGTTTTTCAGGCTAATCTTGTCAGGTGGGTTTTGCGGGATGGGATTCGTGCGGTTACTGGTCCATGCACTTGGCGTGTGGGTCATAGAGACACTGGTATGGATGCTGGCAGAGAAGGTGGAGCTTTAGGGAAGAATGGTTCTTGTGTTCTTTGTGTCGACACTAGAGGAATTCTGTGTTTCTCTTAGTACAGACCTTCCCTTTTCCGAATCTCATCATGTGTCCCTATCCTTGTGTCCTTTATGTGTCTTTCCCCCGGTTTTACGTTGCAATCCATTCAGGGCATCGAACAATTGGAGTTATCACCAAGGTATGCCTTTTATTGCAGTTTGCTGCTCTTGCACTTGCCGCATCTCATGTATTGCTTCCTTTTCATTCACGAATGAGGAGTGGGTGGGAGTCGTTTGTTTTCCCCTCATTTTTTGCATTGAAGTTAATGCGCAGCTAAATATCATAGATTGATGGATGAATGGACATTAATCAACCGTGAAACTTTGGCCAAAATCAGTCGAACATCTGCGTCTGTCACTTGGCTTGAGATGCTGACCACTCCACACTTCACCTTGATCATCCTGCTATGCGTGATACCGATGCCGTTACTTCTTGAATTGCATGCTTCATTGTATATCCCAATGTTTCAGCCTTACATCATGGATTGAGGAACAGACGCTTGCAATCTGCTGCTGGGAATGCAGCTGCAGTTCATGCTGCTTGGCTCCTGACTCTCTGTCTGACCTGCTCTTTGCTCTCTCCTTTACTACTTACTTACCCCTCTCTCCCGCTCTTCCACACCACTGCAGCTTGACATCATGGATCGGGGCACGGATGCATGCAATCTGCTGCTAGGAAATGTCATTCCCCTGCGCCTGGGCTATGTGGGCGTCATCAACCGCAGCCAGGAGGTGCGTTCATTAGATGAGAAGGTGTGTGTGTGTGCGGGAGAGAGCGCGTTGAGGTGTGTGTACGGATGCCTGCAACCTGCTGCTCGGGAATGTCATTCCGCTGCGCCTGGGCTATGTGGGCGTCATCAACCGCAGCCAGGAGGTGCGTTTGTGTGTGTGTGGGGGGGGATGAATATGCGCCAACGTCTCTGAGTCTGGAGTGCTAGGGAATGTGTTTCCTCTCCGCCTGGGCTATGTGGGCGTCATCAACCGCAACCAGGAGGTGCGTTTGTGTGTGTGGGGGGGGGGATGAATATTCGCCAACGTCTCTGAGTCATTCTGGAGTGCTAGGGAATGTGTTTCCTCTCCGCCTGGGCTATGTGGGCGTCATCAACCGCAGCCAGGAGGTGCGTTTGTGTGTGTGGGGGGGGGAATGAATATGCGCCAACGTCTCTGAGTCATTCTGGAGTGCTAGGGAATGTGTTTCCTCTCCGCCTGGGCTATGTGGGCGTCATCAACCGCAGCCAGGAGGTGGGTTCAGTAGGCGAGGGGGCTGAGAAGGTGTGTGTGCGGGAGAGAATGGGGAGGTGCGTGCACGGATGCCTGCAATCTGCTGCGTGGTAATGTGATTCCGCTCCGCCTATGTGGGCGTTATCAACCGTAGCCAGGAGGTGTGTTCGTTTGAGGGGGGGCTGAGTAGGCCCTTACTTGCTTCACATCCTTATAACACGCTTCTATTTTCATCGTATGTCTTGCTTCTTCTCCCCCCCGTCAGGGCGCTAACACAAAGAAGAGTGTGAAGGACGCACTCACCTATGAGGACTTTTGACAAGTTGGGGACTCTTAAAGCCAACAAGTAGTACACATTACTTGTCGCCTCATGTCATGCCTCTTCTGTTCCCCCCCCTCCCCCTGTCAGGACATCAACGCGAAGAAAAGTGTGAAGGACGCACTCACATACGAGGAGGCCTTCTTTCGAAGCAGACCGGTGAGTTTAAAATGCCTCTCTCTATAGCAAAGCTTTGCAAGAGCATAGATTGAAAGAATGTTTCTTGAAGATGAGGCAGTGATTGATGTCTGAGCCGCGAAGCTCTGGAGTCCCTTTTCAGTTGTTCTAACTGAGCGAATTCCGGTTGTAACGTCTTTCTGCATGTGTGCGTGTCCCTCTCTTTGCTGTGACGTTGCAGGTGTACCATGGGCTGGCAGATCGATGTGGGATTCCGCAGCTCGCCAAGAAACTCAACTCGGTGAGTTCAATCCCAGCTGGCGTCAGGCGGGCACACACGAGTCATCATAGAAGTAGATTCAAGTGCCGACAGGCTACCAAGGACTACCAACGGTTATCACGGGGTACCTAGGAGTATCATCGGGTACCTGCAAGTATTGTGACTCGCCGTATAACTCATCGCCCCTGCACCTTTTTTATGTGTGTGTGTGTGTGTGTGTGTATGTATGTATATATATATATATATATATATATATATATATATATATATATATATATATATATTAGTTTTTTACTGTGTCCCTTCTCCCTGCCGTACCTGTGCTGACAGATTCTCGTGCAGCACGAGAAACTGCTCATCTGCTGCTTTTGAGGCGCCTCAAAACTGCTGAGAGATTCCTGTGCAGCACACTCATCACTTGCTGCTGCCTGATCTCAAGGCTCTCGGATCAACGTGCAGAGGATTATGTGCATTCACATGTCCTTTCATCTCCCTTTCTCCCACCCCGCCCTCCCCTCTGTGCATCTGTCTTCTCTCAGATCCTAGTGCAGCACATTCGCCTGCTCCTGCCGGATCTCAAGCCACGGATCAATGCTCACCCTTCAACTGCTTCTGTCTGCCCCTCCATCCTCCTTGCTGTCTCCTCTCAGATTCTCGTGCAGCACATCCGTCTTCTCCTGCCGGATCTCAAGGCGCGGATCAACGCTCAGATGGTGGCGGTGCATAAGGAGCTTGTGGGGTATGGGGAGGCGGCTGAGCGGGTGAGTGATTAATGGAAAGGGGGGCTGTATAGGGCACTGGGGGGAAGGCGAACGTCAACGCGCAGATGGTGGTGGTGCACAAGGAGCTTGTGGGGTTTCGGGAGGCGGCTGAGAGGGTGAGTAATCACTTGAAAAAAGAAGGGAGGGAGAAGGGCAGTATTCACGCTCACAGAGATGGTGGCAGTGCACAAGGAACTGGTGGGGTATGGGGAGGCGGCCGAACGGGTGAATGTTGGGGCTGCATGGGGTGAGTCATGAATGGTGCATGGGGTGAGTCATGAATGGTGCATGGGGTGAGTCATGAATGGTGCATGGGGTGAGTCATGAATGGTGCATGGGGTGAGTCATGAATGGTGCATGGGGTGAGTCATGAATGGTGCATGGGGTGAGTCATGACTGGTGCATGGGTTGAGTCATGAATGGTGCATGGGGTGAGTTATGACTGGTGCATGGGGTGAGTCATGACTGGTGCATGGGGTGAGTCATGACTGGTGCATGGGGTGAGTCATGACTGGTGCATGGGGTGAGTCATGACTGGTGCATGGGGTGAGTCATGACTGGTGCGGTGTGAGGGTATTGGGGAAACATTGGTGAGTCTTCAATGCCCAGATGGTGGCGGAGCACAAGGAGCTGGTGGGGTATGGGATGGTTAGGCGGCAGAGAGGCTGAGTGTTGTCTTGTAAAGCGGGACTGTATAGGGGTAGGGGATCGGAGGTGAGGAGGCGTGAAGGAGAGCACCGTATATTTTAATCACGCGTCGTCATCATCGTCCCTGTCTATCAAATTTATTGTACCGGCCTCTCCCTACTGCCTGCCCATGCATGCTGCCTTCCCCACAGGCCACCATGGGAGTGCTTCTGCTCAACATTCTCACCAAGTACTCTCAATGTGAGTTCTCTATGTTAGCTTGTGATCTTGAAGGTTTCGATTAGTCGGAGTATTTTCACTCACCAAGATTGATGGAGTACCATAGGTTCAGTCTGTGCGATAGTGTGAGCAGAATGAATGGATGGTGTACCATAAATGTTGCGGAAACTTCCTGTAACGTAATTTTTTTTTTCCGTGATCCTGCTATTCTTGGTTTCTTATCCTGTGCAGCCTTCGTGACGTTAGTGGACGGCAAGGACCAAGGCATGTCCACAGCAGAGCCAGCAGGAAGACTTCTGAGAGTTCTCAAGAGCATTCCCTTCTCTGTTTCTCTCACCCTGAGCAGCCTTTGTGGCAATAGTGGATGGGAAGAATCAAGGCATGTCCACAGCAGAGCTGGCGGGAGGGGCTCGAATCCACTACATCTTCCTCAAGTGCATTTCTTGCATATCCTGCTGTGTACCTCACCCTGTGCAGCCTTCGTGACGATAGTGGATGGGAAGAACCAGGGCATGTCCACAGCAGAACTGGCGGGAGGACTAATGAGGATTCTTAATGCATACGGTACCCTGCTTTCTTGCTTCACCCTGTGCCGTGCAGCCTTTGTGACAATAGTAGATGGGAAGAACCAAGGCATTTCCACAGCAGAGCCATCAGGAGGACTTTTGAGAGTTCTCACTAGCATATTGTCAATGCATATCCTGCTTCACTTCTACACCCTGTGCCGTGCAGCCTTTGTGACGATAGTGGATGGGAAGAACCAGGGCATGTCCACAGCAGAGCTGACTTTTGGGAACTCTCAATGAGTACTCAGTGCATATCCCAATGTCCTGCTTTGTTTCCTACCCTGAGCAGCCTTTGTGACGATAGTGGATGGGAAGAATCAAGGCATGTCCACAGCAGAGCTGGCTGGAGGAGCTCGAATCCACTACATCTTCCAAAACATATTTGTCAAATGCATCGATGTGAGTTGGGTTGATGGATGTGCGCTCAGTTCAGGCATCGATGTGAGTTGGGTTGATGGATGTGCGCTCAGTTCAGGCATCGATGTGAGTTGGGTTGATGGATGTGCGCTCAGTTCAGTGCGTCAGGGTGGGCCGCACCGCACTTAGCTCCTTAGAGGGCAGCGGCAGAGCTGGCGGGAGGGGCTCGAATTCACTACATCTTCCAAAACATATTCGTCAAGTGCATCGATGTGAGTTGGGTCGATGTAGTTTGGGTTGATTGATGTGAGCCCATGCTGCTTGTCTGCCACCTTGTCCCTCTTCCCTCCCTTCACGCCTCTCACCCAGGAGGTTGATTTGATCCGTGTGAGGACCTTTCAAACGAGGACATTCGCACGGTTATTCAGAGTGCCACCCACGTTGTTTGTCTGTCTGCCACCTTCTCCTTTTCCCTCCCTTCACTCACTCCCTCTCCTCCCTTGCGTGCCTCTCACTCAGGAGGTGGACCCCTGTGAGGACCTGTCAGACGAGGACGTTCGCACAGCCATTCAGAATGGTTGTCTTGTCGCCCATTCAGAACTCTACACACACACGGCTTGCACTTAGCTTCCTCCCTCTAATCTCCCTTCAATCGCCCCGCCTGCTCGTCACTCAGGAGGTGGACCCCTGTGAGGACCTTTCAGACGAGGACATTCGCACAGCCATTCAGAACGCCACGGGAACAAAGAATGCGCTGTTCGTACCGGACGTGAGTAGTCCCTTGCTTCTTTGTTGTATGCTTGTACTTTCTTCGTCCAACATGCTTTCTTGGATTAGCATGGTTTTCCATAGCGTCAATCATCACATACCCTTCCAAGTTGCGTGTTGAGGTTTTGAGTACTAGAATCCACTGTCTGTCTACGGACACTCTTCCCTGGGATGCCATATCTGTTCCCTGGGATGCCATATCCCTTCTGCCCCTATCTGCAGGTGCCCTTTGAGGTGTTGGTGAGGCGGCAAATATCGCGTCTGCTGGACCCCTCGCTTCAGTGCGCACGATTCGTCTACGACGAGCTAGTCAAGGTGAGCTTCTTCCTATAACGAGGTGCATATTGAGTTTGTGGGGAAAACACAAAAGTTGGGGTTTTTTGCACTTCCCTACCCTGCGCTGCCTCGCCATGGATTGCTCATCGCTCATTGCCCGGTTCCATGTGCTGTGGCACAAGGCGGAAGAGACAGTGGGGGAGCTTTCAACCCGTGCAGAGAGGCAAGCAAACCCTCATCCCTCGTCTGCCCTTGTGCCACCCTCCCTGCCCCACCCCATCTACCGTGTTTCATGCCTCACAGATTGCCCATCGCTGTGAGTCATACCAGCTGGCCCGCTTCCCTGTGCTGCGGCGTAAGGTGGAAGAGACAGTGGGGAGCTTCCTCAGGGAAGGGCTTAATCCCGCAGAGAAGCAACCCATTGCGTTGCCTCCCTCTCCTCCACTTGCCCACCCTGCCCTGCCTCTCACAGATCGCTCATCGCTGTGAGTCATACCAACTGGCCCGCTTCCCTGTGTTAAGGCGCAAGGTTGAAGAGACAGTGGGGAGATTCCTCAGGGAAGGGCTTAATCCCGCAGAGAAGCAACCCATTGCGTTGCCTCCCTCTCCCCCACTTGCCCACCCTGCCCTGCCTCTCACAGATCGCTCATCGCTGTGAGTCATACCAACTGGCCCGCTTCCCTGTGCTAAGGCGCAAGGTTGGAGAGACAGTGGGGAGCTTCCTCAGGGAAGGGCTTAATCCCGCAGAGAAGCAACCCATTGCGTTGCCTCCCTCTCCCCCACTTGCCCACCCTGCCCTGCCTCTCACAGATCGCTCATCGCTGTGAGTCATACCAGCTGGCCCGGTTCCCTGTGCTCCGGCGTAAAGTGGAGGAGACGGTGGGGAGCTTTCTCAGAGAGGGGCTCACTCCTGCAGAGACCATGATCCGACACCTGATTGACATGGAGGTATGGGGGGATAGCGGTGTATGGGGTTATGGTGGGTGGGTTGGGGGATATTTTTTTTCGAGGAAGGGCCTACTTCTGCTGAGACCATGGTTTGACATCTCATTGACATGGAGGTATGGGGGGATAGGTGGGAGTCAACTTTGAATAGCACTCAAAAGTAGTTGCCGTTAGGGAGGGACTGACTCCTGCAGAGACTATGATTTGACACCTCATAGACATGGAGGTATGGGGGAAAAGGCATGGTGTGGGCTTAATACTATGGGGGTTAGCTGTCAAGGCCCTCAAGAACATAGGTCCGTTCGGCAGAGTCGACGTGGAGACGACCGTGAAGCTGTTTCGAAGAATACTGAAGAGAGACGCAAGCCCTCTTCAGTATTCTTCGAAACACCTTCATGGTCGTCTCCACGTCGACTCCGCCGAACGGACCTACGCTCTTGAAAGCCTTGGTAGCACACATACGGATGGCAGCAGTGCGGTCCCCCAGTCGGTCGAGCAGGATTTTACGGTCGACGTTTTTCATACAAGAAAACGGAGGCAGAAAAAGGTATAAATACATCGCATTCAAGCTTCATTGCTAGGGCTTATCTTCACAGTCTTTCCACCTGTTTTTCATCGTCTTATATTCCCCCTGCCTCCTTTCGTCTCATATAAGCAGATGCATATCAATACATCCCACCCCAGCTTCATGGCAAGCAGTAGGGATTATCTTCACCTCCTTTCCATCTGTTCTTCCCCCCTTCCTTCCCTTCCTTATGTTCCCCCTGTCTCCTTCTGTCTTGTTTAACCAGATGGACTATATCAACACATCGCACCCCAGCTTCATTGGGGGCAGCAGAGCCGTTGAGATTATCTTGCAGCAATTGAGGGTGAGTACACAAATACACTCTAAATATTTGAGCATTTGGAAAGTATGGTCGATGGTTTATGGAGATAGGTCCTTGGTTTGGTTAAGCACAGGCAGTGATAGTTTGAAAGTTCAGATTGTTAGCCTTGTATTGAGCATGCAGATGTGGTGCTGCACTGGCAGCAGCAACAACAGGAAGAAGGGAACTTCGTTTATATTTGCACGGTTAGAATTGACCTGTTCCATTGTGTGCCGTGCCCCGCGCCCCTTCCCCCAACTGCAGCGAAGAACAGTGAGGGCAGGGAGTATCAGAGGCGGGTGCTGCACTGATAGCAACGGCAGCAGGAGGGGAGCTCTGTTTTTGATTCAGAGGAACAAAACAATTGTCCTGTTTCATTCTCCCTGCGACTTCCACCCATCACACCTGCAGGAAGGGAAGGGCAGTGAGGGAGGAGGGCAGGGAGCAGCAGGGGCTGGCGCTGCTGGTGGTGCAATGACAGCAGCAGCGGCAGCAGGAGGAGGGTCACCATCGTCAACTGCTGCTGTGGCGTCGGTGGCAGCAACGTATCACAGGGCTAGATTCTTCCTGTTTCATTGTGTGCTGCGTTCTCCCTCTGCCCCTTCCACCACCCGTGCATGCAGGAAGGGAAGGGCAGTGAGGGAGGAGGGCAGGGAGCAGCAGGCGCTGGCGCTGCTGGCGGTGCGTTGACAGCTGCAGCAGCAGCAGGAGGGGGGTCCCCATCAACTGCTGCTGTGGCGTCAGTGGCAGCAGCAGCGAAGCACAGGGTGATGCTGATGAGGAAGGAGGGAGCGGGACAGGGGCAGGGAGGGCAAGAGCAGCAGCAGCAACAACAGCAGGTGTGTAGAGCTGTGTTTGTTCGCATTCTCCTTTACCTCTGTTTCTCCTCTCCCTTTTGTCTCTTTTTGTGCCTTAATGGGTATTTCCACTCCTTTGATGTTTGTATCCTTTTAGTTGTGAGACGACTCAACACTCTTCCTTAATCTGCTGCATCTCCTATTCGTACACGTGCAGGGGGGCAAGCAGGCAATCACTGCAAATGGCACAGTGGCAGACAAACAAGGTGAGCAGCTCTGACTTCCCTGTCAAAAGCATAAAGATAAGCAGGTAAAAAGGTCCATAGTTGGCATGTGTGTTATCTGCCAAACGAATACTTGGCCAACTCTTCAGTCGCCTAGAGTGAGGTGAGGTGAGGTGAGGTGCAGTGGAGTGAGGTGGCAGGTACCGAATTCTTACTTTCCTTGCTTCCATGTACCCTCCTTGCATCTTCCAGTGCAATTTTCACCCCCCGGTGCACCACATGTCATGTATGGCTGCACCGATTCTGGAACCAGCATACCTGCCCTCCCTTGCTGCACTCGCCACCTTGCTTCCTCCTTCCTCCTTCTCCTCCCTCCGCTCGGGTTGCAGGGTCCTCGTGGGGTATCTCATCTTCGGTGGGCAGGAGAGGAACCGAGGAGCAGCCGTCTCGTCTGCCACAGCCCTCACTCCCTTCCCCCCTGGCCCACTTCCCCTTGTTTTTTTTCTGCTCTCTCATCTTAACCTCCTGCCATCCTGGCAGCAGGGTCCCCGTGGGGCATTTTGTCCATCTTTTGCGGACAGGAGAGGAACCGAGAGCAGCCCACAGCGCTCACTCGTTTTCTCCCCTGACTCCCTCCCCCCTATTTCTCCATCTCCCTCCTGGTCGCTCGCAGGGTCCTCGTGGGGTATCTCATCCATCTTTGGTGAGCAGGAGAGGAACAGAGGAGCCGTCCCTCCTGCCACAGCAGTGTCTGGAGCCAACAAGCTTACTCACGTACTTCATCCTCCCCTCCTTCCCTCCTGGTCGCTGCAGGGTCCTCGTGGGGTATCTCATCCATCTTCGGCGGGCAGGAGAGGAACCGAGCAGGAGGAGCCGTCCCTCCTGCCACGGCGCTCACTCCTTTCCCTCTCGCTTCGCCTGAACCCATCTCTGCTCCTGGCGGTGCTGCTGCCAACGAGCCTGCATCCACTATTCTCCTCAGAGAGGTAAACATTTATTTCTCAAACAGTTTTACCCCTGCCCCTCTCTCTCTTTATACGCTTTCCGCATCTGTACCTCTCTCCTGAATGCTTGGTTTGGGAGGCACTCTCTCAGGTACAGAGCGGTGGAAGTGTGTTGGGGAAGGTCGTGTTACAGGAGGTCTTGTTTCATTCTCTCTTTCAGACCCTGTAGGCGTTTTCTTATCATGTTTCAAGGGTATTAGTGCTAGTTCCCAGCCTCAAAGGAAGCAGCTCTGTGCCTGTTTGTGGGCAGAGCGGAGGTGTGCGGGAGGGGAGGAGGGGCAGGAGTGGTGCACGCAACAGCAGAGGCATTCTGGGAAGGAGAAGCAAGGCTGCTGCAGCGTCAGCTACACGTGTCTTGACCACAGCAGCTGTTGCCGCTGCTGAATCACCACAGATGACCACAACTGGGACTGTCATTTCTGTGAGAGGAACAGGTTCTTTACAGAGACAGCAGCAGCAACAGGAGCAGCAGCAGGCAGTGGGGCAGATAGAGCTAACAGAGCAGCAGCAGCAGCCGGTGCAGGTGGTGATACAGCAGCAGCAGGTGAAGGAACAGCAGCAGCGGCAGCAGCGGCGGTGGTGGCGGCGGCAGCGGCAGGGGTGGGTGGGCATGGCGTTGATGGGGGCGAGGCTAGTTCTTCATTCCATGACTGCAGGGGGAGAGGCGCACTTACACACCCCTTTAGACCCGGATGTGAGAGGCATTGTGCATGCCATGTCTTTTGAGGCGCCGCAAAGGGTAGCAGGGGGAGAGGCACACTTACACACCCCTTTAGACCCGGATATGAGGGGCATGGTGCATGCCATGTCTCTGCCTCACAGTGAGATGCCTGAGGGGATGCGTGTTGGGATTAGGGAGGCATCTGGAGGGGTTAAGAGGGGTGCAGATGGTGCTGTGCTGCGGGGAGGTGTGCAGCAGGCTCTGCCGTCAGGGGAGGGAGTGAGTGAAGGGAGGGGAGATGGGGAGCAGGAGCAGCAGCAGCATGCTCAATTGAGAGGGGATAATCAGCAGCAGGAGCACCAGGAGCAGGAGCAGGATACGCAGCAGCAGCAGGAGCAGGTGGAGGGGAGAGGAGACGGCGAGTCAGCAGACGCGTCTGCCCGTGATGTTGTTTTTCAAGTGCCGCAACCAGCAGCACAGAACGAGCAACAGCAGCAGCAGCAGCAGCAGGAGCTTAGAAGTGGGTTGAACAGAGAAACGGAGACGAGTGCGGACGTGGCACGCAGTGACCCATTCGCTGGTGTTGATGATGGGGCTGAGGAAGCTGGTGATGCAAGAATGGAAGCTTGTGGCAATGGGGCTGAGGGGGCTGAAAGGAGCACGGTGGTTGATGATAGTGTTGCAGCAGAGGCAGGAGCGAGGCTGGAGGGTGGGAGCGGTGAGAGAGGCTGTGAGGCAGCACAGCAAATGGGGAGGTCTGGTGAGGACGCTAAACTAGAGGAAGCACCAACTGCTTCTGGCAGGTTGAATGATTCCGCACACTGTATAGACTCCACACCAGGTTATCGAACTGAATACCACCTTGAACACCAGCACCGACACCAGCAGCAGCAGGAGCAGCAGCAAGAAGAGGCACAAGCCAATCCGTGGCTAGCAGATGGGAATGCCGTAGGGAGCCGGCAAAACGACAGCCTGGGGTGGCTAAGAGACAGGCAGAGGCAGAGGCAGAGCAGCAGTGGGGGGAGACGCAGGAGCATTTGGCAGGAGGAAGGTTACAGTTACAGCTACAGCTACAGCAGCCGGATGGGGTTACCCTATGCAGCGTCAGCATCAGTGTCTTCCCCTTTGCTCCCGCGATCGCCAAGAGCAGCGACCATGGACGAGTGGGACTGGCTGCAGCAGCAGTCGCAGCTAGCCGTCTCCCTGCCCCCTGTAGGGTCCTATCCCGGTGCCTATGGGCTGGGGGGTGGGCGAGGATGGAAAAGAAGTCCTTTCTGTCTCTGCCATCTTTTTTTGGTCTTTCTGTCTCTCCCTCTCTCGTGTTTGGTCCTCTGTGGTGTCTACATTTCTTTCTCTTGCTTAGATAGGGAGTGGCTGCAGCAGCAGTCTCAGCTAGCTGTATCGCTGCCCCTGCAGGGTCCTGCCCCTGTGGCTCAAAGTAATGGGCGGGGATAGGAACACAAAGCTCTGTATCCTCTCCTGTTCGAGGAACACTTAGCATGCTGTGGATGGTCTCTCATGTTCGATCCTCTGCTGTTCTTTGTGTCTTCTGTGTTTTCTCTCCTCTTGTTTCTTTCCACTCTGGGTTCCTCAAGTCCTATTTCCCTCCTACTCTCCTCACCCTTGCCCCTTTCAAGTCCCTACTTTCGCCCACCCTCATTTCTTTACCCATTCCACCCCTCTTCTTTTCTCCACCCCTCTCTCCTTCCGTTTTTTCATACGTTTTCCTTATCCCTCCCTCTTCCGTTCCTCGCCTTTTAACTTCCCTCTCGCTCCCTGTTTTTTCTTCCTATGTTGTTCAAACGGGTGATGTGCGTGCGTTCCCTTAATCTTTTTTCTCCCTCATTTCCGCCCCTGACCCCCTTCCTCTGCCCTTCCCGTTACTGTGTTCCTCCCTCCTCAGCCGCCCTCTATCCTGCGAGCGAGTGAGCAGCGATCAGCAGAGGAGGGTGTGGAGATTGGGGTAACCCGCCTGCTCCTAAAGTCATACTACGACATTGTCAGGAAGAACATTCAAGACGCTGTTCCCAAAGCCATCATGCACTTCCTGGTGAGTTGGTTGGTGGGGGCTGGGGTCCTGGGGTGGTAGAGTGTGGTACGAAGCGTGAGTGCTACTTGCATGCATGCTGCTGGGAGGGCGTGGATATCGGGTAACCCGCTTACTCTTAAAGTCATACTAAGACATTGTGAGTGGTGGTAGCGTGGGTCAGTGCTGCGTGCATGCTTGTTGCTGGGAGAGGGCGTGGGAATTGGGGTTACCCGCCTCCTCTTGAAGTCATACTACGACGTTGTGAGGAAGAACATACAGGATGCCGTGCCCAAACCCATCATGCACTTCCTGGTGAGTGACTTTGGGCGTGAGAAAGGTGCTGCTGGGTTGCATGTTTGCTGTGCTGCTTCAGTTGTGTTGTGTGGGATAGGAGTGACACCGCCTCTTCTTAGGGTCATACTACGACATTGTGAGGAAGAACATTCAAGATGTTGTGCCCAAGGCGATCATGCACTTCCTGGTGAGTGGGTGGGTGGGGATGGGGTAGGTAGGTGGGATGTGGTGTCTGGATGGTTGGGAGTGGGAGGGGGAAGGGGAGGGGGAACCGGGGGGGGGAGGAGTGGAGGTAGGTCGGTTTACCTGTAGTTATCATGCACTTGCTGTGGGGATGGGGATGTGGGTTGCATGCTTTTTTCATTCTCTTTGCAGCAATTCAGCAAATCCTTGACTTGGTCGTCACCTGCCTTCAGAAATTCAGCAATTCAGCAATTCCCTAAACCCTTCTCTCTGTTGTTCTCCACTCCTTGTTCCCAGGTTAACCACGTGAAAAGGGAGCTTCACAGTGTTTTCATTCAACAGCTGTACAGGTAGGCTGATTGATGCGTGCAAGTAGGTGGGGTGGGAACATAGTGTCTACCTGCCTGGCATGCCCACGTCTCTCACATTTGTTATCAGATGAATTGTGTAAAGAGGGAGCTTCACAGTGTATTCATCCAACAGCTGTACAGGTAACTTGATTGATGAATGTGGTGCGAGAGGAATTCATTGCAAGGGAGGGATTTACACAGTGTATCCATTCAACAGCTTTACGAGTGCGCATTCGTTTAGGATTACTATAGTCAGAGGATTACTATAGTCAGAGGATTACTATAGTCAGAGGATTACTATAGTCAGAGGATTACTATAGTCAGAGGATTACTATAGTCAGAGGATTACTATAGTCAGAGGATTACTATAGTCAGAGGATTACTATAGTCAGAGGATTACTATAGTCAGAGGATTACTATAGTCAGAGGATTACTATAGTCAGAGGATTACTATAGTCAGAGGATTACTATAGTCAGAGGATTACTATAGTCAGAGGATTACTATAGTCAGAGGATTACTATAGTCAGAGGATTACTATAGTCAGAGGATTACTATAGTCAGAGGATTACTATAGTCAGAGGATTACTATAGTCAGAGGATTACTATAGTCAGAGGATTACTATAGTCAGAGGATTACTATCCATGCTGATGTGACGTCAGGGTTTCACTCTCTTAACCATCCATGCTGATGTGACGCTCATGCCCATGCTCATGCGTGTTTCTTGATTGCAGGGAGGCGTTATTTGAGGAGATGCTGCAGGAGAGGGAAATTGAGGAACGTGCCTCAATTTCCTCTTCTTACCCTTCTGTCACTCTGTACTGATTTTCCCTCTCTCCCAAATACCAGGGAGGCGCTATTTGAGGAGATGCTGCAGGAGCGGGAGGACATTGCATCAAAGAGGCAGCGATGCAAAGACATCTATGCAGTGCTGCAGCAGGCTGCGTGGGTACGTGTATTGGTGTAAGGAGTTGATTTGTAGGTGTTGGTGCGAAGGACATTGCATCAAAGCGGCAGCGATGCAAAGACATCTATGCAGTGCTGCAGCAGGCCGCGTGGGTGAGTGGCGTGTCATAGCGTGCATGTATAAAGAGCTCCCTGCCACTTACCCCCTGCCACATGCCTAACCCCCTCCTCCTTCTCCACGTCCTCTAATCTGTTCATGCTGGCCATATCATCTCTTGTTTTTCACTCATCTCCTTTTCTCCTCCCACTTGCCAAACCCCATTTTCTGTCTCGTGCTCCATACCCTTTCACTTCCCCATTCTCTTCTCCTCCCCCTCCCCCTTCCCCTTCCCCTTCCCCTTCCCCTTCCCCTTCCCCTTCCCCTTCCCCTTTCCCTTTCCTTCGATCCTCCCCCTTCCCCTCCCCTTCCCCTCCCTCTTCCCTATCCCATTCCCCATTCCCATTCCCCTCCCCTTCCCTTCCCCCAACAGACGCTAGACGAGCTCCCATTAGACCCGGACGCCCCATCTCGCCCCGCCTCCTCTGCTCTCGACGCCACGGGCCTCCCCCCTTCCTCCGGCCTCCTCCCACCTTCTCCTGGCTACCCCTCCCCCGCCCCCTCGCTGCCCTACCGCCCTGCTCTCGCCACATCTGCTGCTGCTGGTACTGCTGCTGGTTCGTCATATGCATACGGGCATGGAAGGGGACCAAGCAGCAGAGAAGGGGGGATGGGGCCCATTCCTTATGGCACTCCAGGCGGTCAGGTGTGCTTTTCTTCTACTCCCATTCTGATCTCTTGGTTTCTTTATCTCTTTTTGCTTGGTCTCTTTCCTGTCGCTCCATCTGTTTCATGCTGTCGCAGTTTTGAGCCTTCTCAAATTTTGAGACGACTCAAAGCTCCACCTCTTTCATGCTGTCGCATCCACCCATCCCAAAGGAGAGGATGACAAGAAATATATGGCTCGCTCTAATCACCCTCTCTCCACCCTCCCTTCCCCTCTCCCCTTTCACTCCCTCACCCCCCTCTCACCACCCCCTGCTTCCCATTCCCACGCACAACGCTCACTGCCATTCCACCAGCAGCCGTCCCGGCCTGATGGGCCGCGCAGCATCGTCCATGCATGATCATCAACACATGGTGATGCATACGTGACTGTCTACAGATGTGGATGGAGACATGGTGATACCCTCTGGCACTGCTTACAAGGCCATCCATTCATTATCATCAGCACATGGCGATGTGTGCATGATCGTCAGCGCCACATGGCAATGTGCTCATGACAATCTGTGCCACGTGGCGATACGTGCATCTCAGCGCGTGAACATTCTCACATTACCGCTGCTATGCCCATCTGATGCATGTTTTGCCATTTTCACGCAATCGTGCCATCCACAATCATTTCGCACCATCAGCGCCTTCCTTCCGTCACGCTCAAGCACATGGTTTATGCTTCAGTACCAAGGCAACCCTCCCGTTCACCCCCATTGGGTTTCAATGCCGAATTCATTTGTTATGGTGGTTACTTAACTTCTTCCTATTCACAACATTTGAACACACAAATAATTACACAAGAAGAAATAAAAGCTCATTCAACATGGGACGAGGGGGAGTTTCAGCTAAGAGACGGGTGGCCAACTGACAGAGTTACCCAACATGAAGCATGGTTATCTGAAGCAATCATGAAACCTATATACGAAGCACTATTGATGCTGCTAGATCAAGATCTAACGAAGGTTAGCCCATGCATGTCCCGGATGCCACAGCGCAGTGCACGGGACATGCCATCAAGCGCTTGCTTGCACCATCTGACATTCAACTCCTGCAGCACCTTCAGCTCCGTCAAATCCTCTGGCAACGCCTTCAATCGGTCACAGCCAAACAGATTCAGTGTCCTCAGCCTGGTCAGCTGTGCAAACCTGGGAGGAAGGGAGATGATGGAAGTGTTGTAAAGTCTAAGCACGCAGAGGCAGCGGAGCTGCGTGAGCGAAGATGGTAACTTCTGTAGGGCGTTACAATCTGATAGATCCAGCTCACGCAGCCTGGATAATGCATCGATGCCATCGGAAATCGAGGTAAGCTTGGGTGCAAGGACCTTCAACAATGTCAGGTGTTGGAGCTGTGAAACCGTTTCTGGCAGCTCCCGAAGCTCCTCAAAGTTACATAGTCTCAAATCCTGAAGCAGCTGCAATGCTGAACCGATGTTTTCTGGAAGGGTCTGAATCCTTTTACCATTCAAGATTCTCAAGACGTGGAGCTGGCCAAGTGAGCTCCAGGGAATCGAAAGCTCCTCCACGCCATCTGCCAATCCCAGCTCCAAGCTCCCCAGACAAAACGGTTGGGAGATTTGAGGGAATGAATCAACCCGACCGTTGTTCTTCCAAGGCAGGACCTCCAGGGAAAGTGGCAGCGACGTAGGAAACTGACTCAGCCGTTCGCACAACGCGACCCTCAACTGCTTAAGCTTCCCAAGGCTGCTTAGCCTTCTTGGCAGCAAAGACAGCCCTAGACAACTCTCAATGGTCAAGGTAACAAGGCTAGTGAGCATTGTAACAGAGTCTGGAATATTCCTGATAGCATTACACCCATGAATGTGCAGATGCTCCAACTTCCTCAGATTTTCCAGGCCATCAGGAAGCTCTTCAATCTCACAGTGCCCGAGCTCAAGACTTGTCAGAGAAATCAGCTGCGTGAACGAAGCGGGGAGCTGCTCCAGTATGCATCTACGCACGCGAAGTGTCTCTAGGTTGCTGAGCCATTCCATCCTCTCTGGAAGCACCACCCCCAGAAGGCTCAGTGTCTTGAGAGATGTGAGGCTGCTGAACTCTTGTGGCATAATGCGAAGCCTAAGGGTGCAGTGATGTAGAAAGAGCCGCTGCAGAGATGTAGCTTGGCAGAGCGAGACAGGTAGCTCCGAGAGTGGAATGCTCTCCAGCATCAGTGCCTTGAGAGCAGGAAACTGTCCAGAGTCATCCGGCACGCGGTGAAGCCGGTTACACTCGGTAATGGTCAAGCACTCCAATGCACGTAGAGAAGTGATACTGTCTGGGAGTTGGTTGAGCTGGTGGCAATCTCGAATGGTCAGCTCACGCAGGCACGGCAACAGCTCTCCGATGTCATTGGGAAGGCGCTGGAGTCTCGCGGATTTCGTGATCACGAGCTGTTCTAGACGGGTCCATGGCATTCCTGTAGGGAACATTGAAGTGAAACCAGGGCTAGCCAACTGGAACTCGAGATTTTTCAGGTAATGCAGCTGAGCAGGTGTGAAAAATGCAGCTGGTGAATCATTCTTGGACAGGTGGATTTCACTGGAAATAGAAAGTTTCGAGAGACTTGAAATGCGAGCGAAGGCTGACAGCTGTTTATATGTCAATCTCGGGACAGCAATATGGAGAGAAGTGAGACACGGAAGCCTTGCAAATCTGGAGAGTGTGACGACTGAAACGTCTGTTAGGAAAACCGTGTGCAGATGCTGTAGCTGAAAGAAAGAATCCGGCAACGCGGCGTTCTTATGTAGGCAGTGAAGGGAAATTTCCTCCAGTTGATTGCACTTCAGGAAGAAATTCTCGAGGCCGGCCACTGGGTGGTCATTCTTGCTTCCTCCACATCCCGTCGGTGTGATCCTGCGACCCACGTGAAGAACTTTCAGCTTAGGTCGTGAGGAAGCAAGGTGAGCGAGGAATTCGTTGTCAACAATCTCGACACTCCCGTCGCTCAGATGAAGATTCGTGAGGTTGTTGAACAAAGCCACTGCGTTCGCCAAGTCTTGACGAGATACGAAACGGTTTTCTTGGACTGAGAGTCTGGTGACCTGACGCTTAACGAGTTGACTCCAGCGATTGCATACGGACGCGATTAGCAGATTGTGTGCTGCATCTGCGAAGGCTGGAGGAGTGAATGTATTCGCGCTAAAATGCCATTTGGGAAGTGAGCCACTTGAAGAATTAATATCAGTCTGGAAAGGCATCCCATCCTGGAACCATAGAATCCTCGTGAGAATATCATCCGGAAGTCGATTAATGTGCGACAGACGCTCCATTTAAAGCTTTCAATTATTGTCCGCAAGGACTCACGTTGAGAGTGTCTGGTTGTTCAAGCCAAAAATGACCAGAAAACTTAGTAGTAAGAATCTTGGCCCTAACGTCGGTCGTACAGTAGGAGTAAGAAAGTCGCTCATTTGATAGGAGTACGAATATTTCTCGGGTCATCATTTCTTCTCTGCTAGAGAGACTCAATCATGACACAGCATGCCTGCGGTTTGGAGGTAAGGTGAGTGAGGAAACACTCGCTGTGCTTGTGTTCCAGGAGAATCTGTCAATCTCAATAAGGGGGAATCCTTCCTTGAACAAGCTGGTTCAGCCATGGCTGACGTGTTCCCTGACGGTTTGGTCAGTCTTGGCTTCAGGGGATCAACTTCATCGCACGGCCCAAGCTGGGCCAAGCTGACAAGGAAACGCGCGACGCGGAACGAATCCGAAGCACTGCGTCTGAAACGCGCAGTCTGCCCGTTGCTGCGTATCTTGCGATTCCAACCTGGTGTTCATCGAACGGTCTCAATTTATTCCCCATCTGCAGCAAAAGAATCAGCAGCAAGCTTGCTGTCAGAAACTCAGAGCTGTCAGATAACTCGCTATTGAGCACGCGTCAGATAAGTCTCTACGAAATTAAGAAACTTCAGGTAGCATAGATATATTTTTATTTCTTCAGGTGTGCTAATGCAAAACGGTGGAGTCCATCACATCTCCATGGTCTAAACTGAGTTGAAAACTTCCTTTGTAACTATTCACCCATACCTTTGAGATTGAAATAGTGGACCCAATTATCATCCGTCAATAAAATTCATGGCAGACATGTTCCCTAACATATGCACTATAACTAACATCCATCAGGTTGAACATTTGACGCCATCAGTTACAACACCTTAAAATGTAGATGCAGCAGCCTCCCTTGAAAACCCTCCATCCGAGGCAATTGAGCCTGATGTTCACCATACTCTCTGGAAGATTTTTTTTTTTTTTTTGGGTTGCGAAGCAACCTATTACAATCGTTATGTACAATTTTTTTTTCATCGTTATGAAAAAAAATAGCGAATCGTGGCTAAGTGATTCAGTGCTGTGTATTTGCCACGACAATTTCCTAGGTAGTTCGCCTTGACTGGTAACCTATACTTTATCGATGAAACATAAACATGACTTGCCAAAATGATGTACCGTAACTGTGAATGCGTGACCGTTTATTCGGTAATGCATATGCCGTAAAAAATAATGTATAGATGAAGTATAATGATGATTGAGTGCAAAATGCATAAATATACATGCATATACGACTGTGGTGAATATACATGTGCTCTGTTTATTTCGGTATAGGTCCGGTGCAGTGAAATGAATGCATGGCATGATGGAAATGCGTGACAGTTAATTGACCCAGACCTTATGCTACCGCATCCCCTGCCTAGCATGGGGGGGAAGTCGATAGCATAGTTCCTGAATCATCCAACTGTTACATGAAACAACACAATCTGTGTAAACTAAAAAAATGATCAAAATCCATCAAATCCAGTTCAAGTGAACACACTCACTGAGTGGGCAAAGAACCTTCTCGGAAATGATGGTTTGACCATCTTTTTAAAATCCACAGATGCGCATTGTTAATGCAATAACAGGTGGATATGTATGAATATGCACACAGAGACACATACGCACACACGCACATACCGATATGCACACACAAAGACGAGTCACAATCAGAAAATGAACCTAAAAGAAATCTAACATAACAATGCAGTAGCATCAATCATTAACATTTCAAACAAAAATCAAACAAAATCCTTTTAATTTCCACATTAGCCTCCGAACGTTATAGCGAAGACCCTGGGAGGGAAACGGGGGGAAACGTAGTGGGAAGGGAAAGGAACGGGGCAGAAGGGGCAGAAAAAAGGACGGAGGCAGAGACACATTAGAGAACTACGATACGACGGAATTACAGGATTTGAAACGTAGGCAGGTGGGGAAGAGAAGTACAAAGGAGAATAACGAATAAAAATACCAGATGTGATAATAACCGCATAGAGGAAACGCAATAATCTGGGCAAGGAAAGAAGAAAACATAAATGAGCTCGTATATAGTAGCGTTTTGATAGATACATAAACGAGCGAAAGAGTTTGACAGAGAGAGAGAGAGAGAGAGAGAGAGAGAGAGAGAGAGAGAGAGAGAGAGAGAGAGAGAGAGAGAGAGAGAGAGAGAGAGAGAGAGAGAGAGACTTCAATAAACTATGGCTTCTAAAAAAACATTCGTAGACTTATGAAAGACATATTCAAAAACCGCACGAAGGTAGGAGTGGAACCAATACGGAAGGAAGATAACATGCAATACGAGGACTATACGCGAGATGCGAGGAGAAGAAACATTGCAAGAAATGAGACAGAAAGAGCCTGTAAGTATGACAGAAAAAAACACACACACACACATAACTACGAGAAGATGGGGCACAGATACTAGAAAAACCGAAAGAAGAGCGTCTAAGCTGATAAGAATAAAAAGGAAGGAGGAAAACGACATGATAGAGAAATGAGAGGATAGTTCTAGGAGTTAAGAGCGTGAGCAGCACAGTTGGACTTACGGGAGAAGACACATTATTTAAGAACGACCTAACGGTTCCGTCGAAATGGACGATATCCTTAAAAACGATTAAGTTTCTAGATAACTTAGAACTTACTGGTTCAAATTAGAGAAAAGAACATGAACGAAACTGCTCCTAATATTTTCTTGAAGTCTAAAAAGAACTAGCACACGTTCGTACGTACGCTAGTCCTTAAATTCTTACCTAGTAAGTATATGACTGCTGCAGTCGTAGGAGGAGCGGGAGTTGAGGGAGACGCGGGAGGAAACTAGGGCATTGACGATCCAGAAAGAGACGAAATGTTGGGAAAGGAATTCAATTTTCGGCTTCAATTAAACTCCCTATTAAAATTTCCCGGAAGTTGATGGTAGTTCTGTTAGTGCAGTGGTTTGAGAATGTTCTTTGAATCCAATGGTCTCGGGTTCGGTTCTTGCCGCGGCCTTCTGTATCAATGCAACATTTTCAACAAGTGCGTGTTTTTAATTTTTACCCCCCGAAGTTAGTTGTGGAAGCACAGTGGTATGGATTTCGAATCAGAAGCCGATGGTCTCCGGTTCGATTCTTGCTGCTACCTTTTCATGTCAACACAATATTGGATATGTGTCATGTCTAAGAAATCTAGGAAAGTACGTAGTAGAACAAAATATATTATTTACAAATAAGCTTCGCAACCCTATGTCGACTTGGTCGCCTCTTGTTTTTTTTCTATCCACCTCGAAAAAGAGCACACAAAGCACTGGAGGGCGTTGATCCTGCGGGGATAGAGCCTGGGGAGCTGCGTTTGGGGGGGCTGAGCTCCCGGAAAAGTTGACCAATGTTGCTGGCTGCTGCTAGTGCCACCCCTGCACATGTGCATGCTGTGCCTCTCTGCCTGCTGCAAGCATAGTGTGTCAGTCACGGAAGAGTAAAACGGGCACCCTGCTTGCCTGGGTCGCATGATGAGGCATGATGGGGCATGATGAGGCATGATGAGCCATGGAGGTGAGGCAAGATTAGCCATGATGAGGGATGATGAGGCATGAAGTGGCATGATGAGGCATGATGAGGCATGAAGGGGCATGATGAGGCATGATGAGGCATGACGAGTCATGATGAGTCACACGGTGGTGAGGCAAGATTAGGCGTAATGAGGGATGATGAGGAGTGATATCGCAGCTGTAGCATAAGAAACCAACATGAATGAAGAACATGAAGGCAAGCAGTGGTGAGAACGAGCTTTTTTAAGCCTGAAAGGAACAGTTAAAGAACGAAATTTCAGATGAATTCTGCGGTCCTTCAAAACTCAGGCCAAGCTACCAAGAAGCAAATCTGGAAAGAAAGAAAGAAAGAAAGAAAGAAAGAAAGAAAGAAAGAAAGAAAGAAAGAAAGAAAGAAAGAAAGAAAGAAAGAAAGAAAGAAAGAAAGAAAGAAAGAAAGAAAGAAAAGATAACGAGGAGAAAATCCTTCTCACTGCTCTCCTTAGATGTCATTCCAGCTCAATTCCATCTCTTCTACCCATCCCCATCCCTTCTTTATTTCTTTACTTCGCTCTCTCTCCATCACCATCTCTTATCCCCTCTCCACTTACCAACTCTTCTCCACACTCACCATCTCCCCTCTCAACTCACCATCTCTTCTTCTCCCCTCACCACCCACCATCTCTTCAACTCCACATGTCGGTTTGCTGTGCTTGCAGAGTGATGTTTCAGCCTGGAGAAAAGAGCACGTGAGGAGGTAGGGGACAGTGGGAGAGACTGGTAGAGAAGGGGTGATTGTGAGGCAGGCAGGGAGGAGGTGAGGGGTGAGAGACAGGCAGGGAGGAGGTGAAGGGGTGAGAGGCAGGTAGGGAGGAGGTGAAGGGGTGAGAGGCAGGTAGGGAGGAGGTGAGGGGTGAGAGACAGGCAGGGAGGAGGTGAGGGGTGAGAGGCAGGCAGGGAGGAGGTGAAGGGGTGAGAGGCAGGTAGGGAGGAGGTGAAGGGGTGAGAGGCAGGTAGGGAGGAGGAGAAGAGGTGAGAGGCAGGCAGGGCGGAGGCGAAGGGGTGAGAGGCAGGCAAGGCAAGGCAATGCTGCCAGGTCACAGTTGAGGAGGATGGCTGCTTTAAAACAACCTGAAGGACAAGAGTAGGAGAGAAAAGGAAAGATTCGCAGTAGGAACAGCAGGAGACAGGAAGGGAGGAAAATCAGCGAACCTCTGAGTAACTGTTGTGCATCTGTTGTGCAGGCACAGCGATGCTGCCAGGTCTCAGTGCTGCTTTTGGCACGCAGGCAGGGGCAATGACAAGGGCAAGGGTAATGACAAGGGGGAGGGCAAGGCGGGAAACACGACTCGGCAGTGCAAATAACTGTTGTGGTTCCATATCATGCACCCCATATCATGCACCCCTATATCATGCAACCCCATATCATGCACCCCTATATCATGCAACCCCATATCATGCACCCCTATATCATGCAACCCCATATCATGCACCCCCATATCATGCAACCCCATGTCATGCAACCCCATATCGTGCAACCCCATATCGTGCACCCCCATATCATGCACCCCCATATCATGCACCCCCATATCATGCACCCCCATATCATGCACCCCCATATCATGCACCCCCATATCATGCACCCCCATATCATGCACCCCCATATCATGCACCCCCATCTCATTCACCCCCACTCCATGCACCCCCATATCATGCACCCCCATATCATGCATCCCATCTCACAGTTCTTACCTGCTGAGCGGTGCTGAAAAATCATCCGCACAGCGGCCTCGAAGTGGTGGGTGAGGGGGGACATGACATGGCAGAGAGTAGCAGCCAGCAGGGGCTGAGAGCACTCTTGCAATCCCGCGCACGAATAATCATAGTTGTAAGTAAGAATGATATGAACTGACTTTATCATCCTTTCTGTTATCTCTTCTGCCCGTCCATTTTAGCCTAGTCCCCACAACCTGCATTCCCATTCCAGCAGCAGCCGTGTCAGCTTGAAGAGCTATGCCGCATCGTCCATTCTTGATCATTGTGATGCATGCATGGACGATGGCATCAGCGCATCGCGATGCATACATGATGACTACCACGAGGTAGTGCTTACATGGCCAGCCATTCACTATTAGCGGCCAACAAAAATGCATGCATGACTGTTCAACCGTAGTAAGATCATGTGCCATGTGGCTATAATGAATCATTCCTACCAGTATAAGCTTGCCCAGATTACACAACATAAAGCAGGGCTGCATGAAGAAACGCAAGCTAATCACCTACGTTGATGCCAGTCTAACATATTTAGAGTCAGCCCATGCATGTCCCGGATGCCACAGCGTAATGCACGTGGCATGCGATTAATGGCTTTGATGCACCACCGAACATCCAAGTGCTGCAGCAGCTTCAGCTCGGTCAAATCTTCTGGCAAAGCCTTCAAGAGCTCACAGTGAGAGAGGCTGAGTGTCCTCAGCCTGGTCAACCGTGCAAACCTGGGAGGAAGGAAGCGGATGGAAGTGCTGTCGAGTCTTAGCACGGAGAGGCAGGAAAGTAGTGTGAGCGAAGAGGGTAGCTGCTGTAGGGACGTACACTCTGACAGATTTAGCTCACGCAACCTGGATAATGCTCCGATACCTTTGGGAATTGAGGCCAGCTTGGGTGCATGAACTCTTAGCAAGGTAAGCTGTTGCAGCTGAGAAACTGTTTCTGGCAGATTCTCAAGCTCCTAGGGAATCTCCAAAAACCACAGCCAAGCCACTGGATTTCGGTCCAGACGGGTTTGGGCTCAAAAGGGCGTGTTTTAGCATGTTTGTATGTACATTGTGTCACAGAAGGCACTGGGACGAAACACACCAGACCAGCAGCCTAAATGACACATGGATTTCGCAAACGTGATACACCTGCCGCTTGTGAAACGCATTTCGGATTCAGATCTGGTGTTGAGGGATAGAACCCAGCCGCAGGATAGCATGATTCTGTTCCTTCCCTGGTTTCTGTCTATTTCTCCTCATTTTACAGCATCCCGCCACCGCTATTTCCTATTAGACACAATTGAGTCTCTTACACCCATTCATGACCTTCCTGACGACATTCTCACGAGGATCTTATGGCACTCCGAGCAGGCCGTGTCTACGAAGTCGGACACTGAAACCTTATGGGACTTCGTTTCCATAAGTTCTACCCCCAAGTACTTTTTTGCGGACTGTCCCGTTGAGCCCATTCGTAATAGACAACTTATCCCACTACCGACTCCCCCTCCTTGTGCAAACGCTCGCTGAATTCTCCTAATCTCGTCCGTCTGTTGTCGCTGGCGAAATCTTTCCCAGCGATACGTCTCAAAACTCCTCGTTGGCGACAATCTCGCCGTTTCTCTCCAAGATCTCGCGAATGCTGTTCATTCCTTCCCGAACCTGACCCACCTGCATCTGTGCGACAGCAGCGTGGAAACTCTAGACTATGCGTTCCTGGCTCACCTCGCCTCGTCATGCCCTAAGCTGGCGGTGTTCCACGTAAGAAGCAAAATTGTGCCTGAGGTCAAACATAGTTCGTAAGAAGCACGAGCACCCTATCACAGATTCGGGTTTGGATATTTTCTTCCTGCAGCAACTTTCGCTGTACTGCCTCCATCCAGATGCTGAATTATCAGCTTCCTTCTTTCAACTGCCCCGTCTGCATACTCTCGCGCTCTCAGCCTCCTCTGAAACGTTGCTGGCAGGGAGATAGTAGCCTTAGTAGGCTTGGAGAATGAGTATAGAGTGCTCTCTATAATTTTCTGGAAATTGCATTATGACTTCACAAATTTCAGAGTACAATTTTATAGAGCACATTCAAACATCGAGTCGCACTCCCAAGTCGCGACTTTCTCTGAATTTCTCAATGGTAACCCAACCCTTTGAAATGAACCTGCCGTGAAATTCAGAGAATTATTGCGGTACGGGATTGGCCGGCGAGCTTGGTTACGGGGCTGTAATTTCGTCGGTGTTGTTGGCGAAGTCGGCGAGCGGTCGGAACTTTGGTGTCCTGCGTTTCGTAATTTTCGTGCGTGGGATTGACTTGGGCTGCGTGTCGGAATCTGGTCGCCCAGCTGCAGGTTGAGGCGTTTGACCAATCCGAACTGTAGGTGAGGTGGCGCTTGACTTCCGCCCACCTGCACTGTTCTTGGAAGTGTGTTGCTGCACTGTTACGAGTGACTTCCGCCCACCTGCATTGCAGTTGGCAGCATTCGGCTGCTGCACTGTTACATTACTTCCCCCTCCAAGTGGCGTCGTCCACGGCGCCAAACCATGGCTGGTCAAGTAACGGTTCACGGCAGTTGCAGCACGGTCAAGGTGGCTCTCAGGTTCCCATGAGTCCTCACTAGCAGGCTGATCCTTCCAATGAACAAGAAACTCACGACCATGAGGTGTGTCGCGGTGAGCAGTGATAGATGCAACCTCAAACAGGCCGGGGCTGCCTTCGAACATCGGTGGCAGGTGGCGTGTGGCTGGACGGTCGTGTGAAGGTGCACAATAAGGGCGGAGGCGCTGGACATGGAAGACGGGGTGAATCTTCATATAGCTGGGCAGTTGGAGCCGGTAGTTGACTGGTGAGAGGACTCGGGTGATAGTGAACGGGCCAATGAAGCGAGGGGCGAGTTTTCTGGTTGTGCCTTTGCGTAGGAGAGGTAAGTGGTCCGTGGAGAGAAGCACTTGATCGCCAACCTTGAAGCGGATATCTTTGCGGTGGGAGTTGGCATAGTGGGTCTGTTTGGCTTGTGCTTTAAGGATGGAGGTGCGAGCGGCATCAATGGCTGATTCGAGTGAGGTGAGGAACTCAAAGGCTGCTGGTGCGTGGGAGAGGTGGGAGGGTGGGGTCGTTGGGAGGCGTGGGTGCTGTCCGGTTGCGAGGTAGAAGGGTGGCTGGCCGGTGGAAAGATGGGGTGTGCTGTTGTATGCGAGTTCGATGGCGGTGAGGTGGAGGTCCCAATCGGTTTGGCGAGCGTTAACTTGTGCACGAAGGGCGTCTTCAAGCGTGCGGTTCATCCGTTCAGTTTGTCCGTCCGTTTCAGGGTGATATGCGGTAGAAAATTTCAGCCGGGTGCCGTGAAGCTTAAAGAGGCTTTGCCAAAAGTTGCTCAAGAAGCGAGGGTCACGGTCTGAAATGATGGCGGATGGGAGGCCGTGTAAACGGACTATGTGATCAGAGAAAAGCCGGGCTGTTTCGTGTGCGGTGACGGTTGTGTGCGTGGGGATGAAATGGCTCATTTTGGAGAGTCGGTCAACGACGACTAGGATGGCGTTGTAGTTGCGGGGTGTGCGGGGCAGGTCCATGATAAAGTCCATGGTGACTTCATCCCACACCTTGGTAGGTGGAGGGATAGGTTGAAGGAGTCCGTAGCGGTTGGTGGTGCGTGCTTTGAGTTGTTGACAGGTTCGGCATGTGCGTATGAAGTCACGCACATCAGCGTGCATGCGTGGCCAATGGTAGTCGTTGG